CTAGACGCTTATTGCTCTTTCGGACAAGTGTGTGAGTTATTAACTCGTGCTCTGATACCACTCTGTCATAACCCAAACCTGTCCCCGTGGGTTAAGGACATAACCGGCCAGTAATCAAGAGATTACCTACGGCCTTGAACCAAACCAAACGTATCTTAACAAAGTTAATGGGGGCCAAACGGAAGCAATTTAAAACTTTGTCCATAGAGCTGTGCTTACATGGCACATCATAACAAACCATACATATGCATATTAATAACTCACAACAAAATATGTACTACATAAGGTTCTGTACATACAGGATCATATAAGTCTAAATCAACCCATGACGACTATATACAACAGATGCAAAGTCTTCGCCAACATGACAGAATATAAATACATAACAAAAGGGCGAAGACAGGTCTCGTGCGTGAGACACAAGGGCTGACTTTCCCAAAACCTTTGTTGTTCTACATAGACTTCACTGGGGCTGGGTTTGGACTTCTTTTGACTCACCTACAAACACATGAATGAGCGCGAGCGAAAGCCCAGTAAATAATATCAATTAAAGAAGCTATACAGATGATATGTAGAACAACATGTTTCAAACGGCCTTAGGCCCAATTCATATTTCTATTTAACACATATACACAATTTAGGTCAAGTGTGTAACGACCTAGATTTTTAATTATTCTATAGAATTTATACTAATATTATTTAATCTCAGTTCGGAAAATATATAATTTATTATATATTATTATGCGCAATTTTGTAAAATAATACAATTATTAAAAGTTTGGGGGTCAAAATATGAATAATAATAATATAGATAATATAAATAATAATAATAATAATGGGTGTGGTAGTAAAATAAATAATTTATTTTCTGTTGGTATATGATAAAGTGTAATTCAATTAAAAATTAATTTATTTATATAATTATATTAAAATATTAGGTCAAATGGTAATTATCTTAAATATCTATTAAGGATAAGAATAAATCTATATAATTATGAGTTAAATCTAAGAGAAAGGGACGTTAGCCACGCGTTGGCTGATGAATGGCCTCACCTCCCTATTTATTTCACCTGGGCAAAGAAAAGGAAAGAAAGAAGAAAACAAAAGAAGAAAGGAAAGGAAAGAAAGAAAAAAAAAATAGTGGAAGCTGAAAGGGTTTTTTATAGTGGAAATAAAGAGTAAGGTATTATAGTTAAGGTGAGTTATATTATATTTTGAGTCACCAAAATATATTTTACGTATGTTTTAACTTACCAAAATCTGTTTTACACAAGTTATGTTTTATTAGTTTATTAATAAAAGTTATGTTTTATAAAGATTTCAGTTACGTGATTTATCTTCTGAACCCTATTTGCTTAAAAGGAAATCCATGGATATGCCTGTTTATATTTTAAAGAATATTTGACTATGACCTTATAAACAATTATATTTTGTAAGTACCACCACGGGAGTCCCACGCATTGGGGGACTTAAATAATCATTGGCCTCTGTTTGGTTACTTTGTGGCCCTCTGATCCATTGACCTCTATTCTGTGCGGACCAAAGTGCTGTGCAGAGCTAAGTGCTACACTATTGTGGGAGCCACCTCTAGAATCCGTACGAGCCACCTCTTGAATCCGTACCTCTGCTCTGTGTGGACCAAAGTGCTGTGCGGAACTAAATGCTACACTATTGTGGGAGCCACCTCTAGAATCCGTACGAGCCACCTCTTGAATCCGTACCTCTGTTCTGACTGTCACTTCTGTGACCTCTGCTCTGTTCTGTTCTGTTCTGCACCGTAGTTATGGTTATATATTTACATAATTTATGTATTTCAGTTCTGCTACTTAAATGAGCAATTTCTGCTACTCAAATGATTTGTTTATGTAAATGTTTTGGCCTAACTAACGATCCATGATTTTTTCGTGTCCCTTATACTCTTGGTATAATATTTCTCACTTTGCCATGTGCTTATAGTTGTTTACCAATTTTCAGGAACCAATACAATTCAGAAATAGCTTTGGAAAGTCTTAGACGCGGGGTTGCGGAATAGACACATACAACACTTTTATAATATTTTTCTATGTAAATATCGGCCTTTTTGGTCAATACGTTTTGTAATAAAAATAGAAGCTCCAATGATTATTTTGGTACCCTTATTTAAATTTTACTTCCGCTTGCGTTATTTGATTTGTTTAAGAATTGGCCGGAGGTAACCTCAGTTACTGGCCATCACGATGCTTAACCCTTGGGTACGGGGAGCGGGTCGGACAAAGTGACTGCGGTTCCAAACAAATTGGCCTTTGGCCCATTCATTCGTTCATATCGAAACGGCCTTCGGCCCATTCATTCATGTCAAAACGGCCTCCGGCCCATTTATTCACGTCAAAACGGCCTCTAGTCCATCCATTCATGCCAAAACGGCCTCTGGCCTATCCATTCATGTCAAAATGGCCTATGGCCCATCCATTCATGCCAAAACGGTCTCTGGCCCATTTATTCATGTCAAAACGGCCTCTGGCCCATCCATTCATGTCAAAACGGCCTCTGGCCCATTCATTCTATTATTCAGATCAGACTGGCCTCTGGCCCACTCATTTGGTATAGCAAACATTGTCCACCAATCGAATCAATGAACTTATAAAACTTACATAGAAGTAAGCAATTGGGCAACAACATATTTCAGATATCTCTGTTAAGATATTACTCATAGTGATCGGTTGGTTGGTTTGCTCTGGAGCTTGACCCTACACATTCCATGAACACAAAAGGGTCACAAACAATTCGATCTGTTCTAAATTCACATTTTCCTCTTTAGGCTTCATTCTTATCTCTTTAACTCAATTACAATGCTCAATGCATGCCTAAGAGTACTTGGAAGTGAAAGAGAACAGAAAATGAAACACAGAATGTCTTTTCAAAATTTCAAAAAACAGGGTCCCCGCTCGAGCGGACTCTTGAGGCCTGCAAAAGTACTGGATATGTCAAATTTACGCTTGATCGCAAACTCTGCCGCTCGAGCGAAAGGCCTCTCTACATGGCTCCCCGCTCGAGCGTGAACTTCCCCGCTCGAGCGGACACCATGTCTGCAGAAAATACTGGGAACACGAATTTTACACTCGAGCGGGAATCAAAATTTTGGAAAATTCAGAACATGTTCTTGAGCTTCAATTCGACATTCAAAGGTTCTAGATGCATGCTTTTGGCTCAAACATCACATATACATGTACTAACATGGTATAAACACTAAATCACAACATTATGAAGCTCAATTTCACAAATTAATCACATGCATGTCCCAATTTACACTAAATTCATTACCAACATAATAATTTCATGTATTCAACACTTACACCCTTATGAATTATACATGCATGTGGCAAATTACTCTCATTCTCAACTTAGATGATGAAGAGAAGGTCAAAATAAGAGCTTTAATCAAAATCTCCCATGGATTATACATTTTGTGCTCAAACATACAATTTCAAAACAATTATTCACATGCATGTGCATATAGACTACCAAATCAACAAAACCAACTCAAATCATGTTAAACATATAACCATACTCATATTAAGGACCAATTAACATATTGCGGAACAGGGATACCACAAGAGAAGAACGAGAAAATGGTCCAATGTGAGCTGCCAAAGTTAGTGAGTGTAAGAAAATCTAGAAGTTGTACGTGGTAGGCAAATTTTGATTTCAGTAGGACAAGAGGATAGGAGTCATTGGTAGTTCATTGTTTGTCATTATCATTTTATTATTCAATTTTTTTTGATATAAACAAATTTTACTAGATTGAGTTACACCAAAATATATATGTATATATATATATATTATATACACATAGTTTACGTATCATCATATGAATCTAATAGGACAGACTAAAATTATGAAACCCTTAGAAAATAATAATGTATTTATATTTTATCATAGGTGTAGTTTTTGTTCTTAAAAATAAAAATAAAAGAGTGCAATTTCATAATTTACAATATTTGTATTTAATTTTTACTAATTACATTATGATTCATATATTTGTTATTTAGAATTTAAAAACATAGCATTAATGGTAGGAAAAAAAAAATTATAAGTGAAATTGCGATAAAAATAGTTAAAATTTAATTAATTCTATTTTTTTTTTTTTGCTTTTTAATTTTAAAAGTCATAGTTAATTATTTATTTAAAATCGTGCATAGCATGTATTATGCTAATATTAATATAGAAAGTAACATACACAAAAAGTATAAGAATAAGGACCAAACAAGAAATATAACACAAATTACAACAACAAATTATAAAAGTCCAAAAAATCAGTCCTGGTTCAAGAAAAATTACCAATCTTTTCACAAATGTGATTTAGAAAAATAAAATTACTTTTTCTTCTTTTCTCTCTTTTCTAAATTACTTTTTGCTAAATTTGGATGAAGTTCAGATTTCTATGACATGCATCAAATTTTAATTTATTTGCCAACATTTAGTGAACATTGAATCAGGTTGAATCTTCAAATTGATTGACATAAGCTGACTTTTTTTATTTTTTTATTTTCAATGAATAAAAAAATCTTTAAGCAAGGTTGGGTAATTTTGTCCATCCATAGTAAACGAGCAATGGCACATAAGCATCTCCAGCAAGGCTAGTTAAAATAGCTATTCAAAATTTCACTTTACTATTTTAGCTAGTCATTTTTTTAATAGACACTCCAACAAGACTATCTATTTTAGCTATCTTCTATTAAAATATTCTTATACTTTAACTACCTTCTTTCCAATCTAAAAAAACAAAAAAACTAACTTCTTTAAAAAAAAAACTAACTTCTTTAAAAAAAAAACTAACTTCTTTCAAACAAACTTCTTTCAAAATATTCTTATACAATATCATGCACGCAAACTCATGAAGATGGATAAAGCAATCCATATACCAACAAAACCAAAACATGCGGATAGTAAAAACAAGCATAGTGTGCTCACAACTGAGACCAAAACCTGCACAAGGACACAAGAAGAATATAATCTTCGCATGCAAATTCTGTATAAACAGTGTAGTTCTGAAGGTGCATATGGAGAAACAAAAAAAAATCAAAATCAAAATCAAATCATGTACAAGTTGGAGACTGGAAGAAAAAGAAAGAATTCTCAGATTTCTTTTCCTCCAACTTCAGAGCATCCTAATGGAGGCTCTATAGAACGAAAATAATGAGATCTTGACAGTATAAATAGGTACATAACAGCAAGCAGACAAAAGGTTGTAGACTTGCCATGGAGTAGGCAGAATAAACAAAATCAGATGCTCCAAAGTTGACTCACAAACAAAATCAGCAGCAAAATCAGATCAAAAACATCTTCAAGAACATATAACTTACAAAGTCAAATATTCACAATTGAAAAAATTAAGAATAAAGCAGCTGGAAATAGGATGCTCATCACCACTTCATTCATCAATTCCATGGCTGAATCAACACAAACCCTCAATTTCTTGTGTTCCCTTGCTTTTGCAGTGCTGCTCATCACCACTTCATCATCACCACCATCAGTCCAATCTTGATCAATATCTTCCTCCTCTTCATCACCATGATCAGCAACATGATAAACTTCAACATGGGTATGCCCTAGGCCATCAAACTTGCCAAGCTCACAGTCCATCAAGTCATCACAGCTGCATGAGAGTGCATCATCTTCCGCTGCACCCATCAGCTCTGCATCCACTGCAGCTATATTTAGCTCAGAAATGGCCTCTGAATCACCTGTGGCCTCAAAGAGCATCATAGAAGATAAATCAACAAATTCTTTCTTCTCATCCATCTTCCTACACAGGAGGCTGAGAAGAATTGGTTATTTGGGATAGAAGTGAACCTTCCTATGCATATAGTTGCCCATTAATAGCATTTGTTATTGGCTAGTGAAACATCAATAAAAGATTACTTCAACTAAAAATAGAAAAGTACCTTTCTAACTAAAATTTGACTAAAAATTTAGTTAGTTTAATGAGATGCTCTTTGTCAAAAATAATTATTGGGTTTAATAAAATTTACCTCCCAGGCAAAAATTTTGTCAACTCTGCCCACTTGTTCCCATAAATTTGATGGGCGCTAATCAAAGTCAATTCCTCTTCTTGCGTCCAGGCCTCCTTGCTGATATTTGGATTAAGGTGATTATGCCACCTAGGAAAAGGAAATCATTTGCATATCAAAAATATTAAACCATCAATTCCCTAACACAGATAAAAGAATTTTAAAAAGTAATGAAATGGAATAAAATACAGCTTTTAGATATATGTTCTAGTGAGCTAATGCCAACAGAAAATACAGCTTTTAGATAAATATAGGACACCAACACCCATAGGAATGGATGAAACACAGAAACTTCACAATAACAAAACAATATAAATTAAAAGCAAAGCATTTGCTACAAGTAGCAATGACTGGGCTACTGGCTCAAGGGGAGGAGAGGTGAGATGGGAAAGTTTGCATAGAATACTGAACTGGTGACAAAATAGAGGCAATTTCCAAATCAAATAACCAATCCAACCACAAATAAAGAAGTTCCAAATCCTGTACATAGTGTCAGTAGCAAAATTTTCCTTTGATTGCAATATTTCATGTGTAGAAATCAAATGGTTATTTGCTTATAACAAGACAAGGAGAATACAGTACAGAATATTGATAAAGTTACATAACTTATCCACCAATTCAACTATAATTTCATCCTCCTGTACATAAGTTACGCGAATAATTAATTTGATCAAATTAGGATTTATGAGATAATCCATATATTAGTAACTTAAAGAGGGAAAATTTGACAGAAATTAAGAGAATTTGACAGAGAATTTGACAGAATTTGACAGAAAATTTTACCGAAATTTGATCAAAATTTATGAGATAATACATATATTAGTAAATTTGACAGAAAATTTGATCAATTAATCGATGTTACAGCCACCTATGCTACAATACCATAAATTCAGTTAGGTTCTCCATTCATGGAACCCAAATAATTACAATCTATATTCTAACAGAAATTACAACAAACACATGGTGTGCAATACAAATATATAGACAAATTATATTAGATTTTAAATTATTTGAAATACATGCCCAAACTCCACATATATGAAAAGGCAATTTTTTTTTTTTTGAATTCGACAGATCGAGAGGGCCAATTGATATCCATTTCTGGTGCAGCCAAACATTTCCAAGACAATTAGTTCTATAAAAATAAGCTCATTAAACAGGGAGAGGTAAAAAAAGTGAAACAGATTATTTCCAAATATGAAAAATATATCACTATCAAACACTCCCAATACCCAAAATGGACCAAAACAGAAGAGTCTAACTCCAAAATTATACAAGCAGACAAAATTAATAACAAATTCTTATAGTATGTGACAAAAGTTAATGACAAACCTCTTTAAATCTCAAAACATTGGGATGTTTCAATGATCTGTGATTCATGATCTCCCTCTGTACATGCTCATCAATTTGCAGCAAAAAAAGAACCTCAGAATAAACCCAAAAAGAAAAAAAGAAAAAAGACCTAGATGGGAAAAATGATAACCCAGATGGAACAAAAGCATGAAATTAAGGAAAAAAAAACGTTTTCGCCTCTCTCGATTAATTTGACAGCAAAGAGCTCTCTGCCATTGTCGACAATCGAAAGAGACATTGAAGCGTTGTAAAATTTTACCGCCAAAAACCGAATTGAGGAGGCAAAAATAAATAAAAAATTGAAAGGCTCATGAACAGTACCTCGCTTGTCCTGGCGAGGTCCTGTAGCTCACCACCATTGTAGCGATCCTTGAGCGAGTCTGTTGGAGCAATGTTTTACCCTTCCAAGCTCGCTTCTATGGCTAAAAGGAAAGAATAGCCAAGCTGCTGGAGATGCTCTTAGAATCTGCAGTCAGTCGAACTAGAGGAAGACAGACGAATGAACACAGTAGAGAGAGAAGAGACAGAGGAGCAGGGGAAGAGATCACTCGAAGGAGGGAGCAGCAGAGGTAGAGGGAGGGAGAGAAACGAAAGAGTGAAAATAGAGAGAGAGAATAGCCTGTGGAAGAAGAAGAGGGATGGTCAACCGGTTGCTCTCCGGTGGTCCAATTTTTTAAAATTAAAGAATTCAAGGGTCAGGATGTATTTGTGTAATCCAATGGCCAACAAAGAAGGTGCACATGGTGTGCAACCCTTTAGGGTGCACACTACAACAGGACCCATATATTTTTTAATCACACATTCTAATCAAAGTGTGATTATATATATATATATATATATATCTCTTTTAATCACATTTTAATTAGAAAGTGTGATTATATATACACTACTACTTTTTAATCACACTTTTTAAATAGGTTATACACTACTACTTTTTAATCACACTTTTTAAATAGGTATGATTATAAATATATTTTTTAATAACACATTCTAATTAAAGTGTGATTATATATATATTACTACTTTTTAATCACACTTTTTAAATGAGTGTGATTATATGTACATTTTTTTAATCACACATTTTAATTAAAGTGTGATTATATATACATTACTACTTTTTAATCACACTCCCTAAATAGATGTGATTGTATAAAATATTCCAATTTGATTTTTATATAAAATATACAATTTCCAAATTTGCGCCTCTATTCTACACCCGTGAATGACAGAGGACGACTCTTTCCATCCCCAACAAGGTTGAATTTCACAAACACACAGGTCTCTTTTCCTTACTACAGCAAAACTGGGTTTTCACGGATTCACATTAACGACATACAGTAAATGCAAGCCGTGGTAAATAAAAATATCTCACTTTTAATGGAAGTGTGATTAAAAAAAAGGGCAAATTACACTAACGGTCCCTATAGTTTGGGACTCGTGTCACTTTAGTCCTTGACTTTTCAATTTAGACACATTTGACCCTGAATTTTGAATCTTGTTCCAAATAAGGACAATTGAAGACCATTGTTTAATTTCAAGGGCAAAATCATCAATTTAATAAAAATAAATAAATATTTGACAAAAAATAATGTCAAAAAAATATTTTAAATTTTTAAATTTTTTTAATCCACCAATGATAAATTATATGTAAAATTGATAAAAATTAATAAAAATTACATGATTAATTTTTAAAAATTAATTTTACATGATCATTATCCAAACAAACAAAAATTAATTTGGTAAAAAAAAATAAATGTCTAAAAGATTTATCAATTTTACATAATTTTATTAAGTTGGTAAGAAATAATTTTTAAAAATTCAAAAATATTTGTTTGACATTTATTTTTCTCAAATTAGTTTATATTTTATAAATTGATGATTTTACCCTTGAAAAAATCTAATGATATTTTCAATTGTCCTTATTTGGAACAAAATTCAAAATTCAGGTCAAATGTGTCACAATTGAAAAGTTAGAAACCAAACTATAGGGACTATTAGTGTAATTTACCCTAAAAAAAATTAGATTAATATTTTGATCACACTTAATTTGATTGAGTGTGATAATATTTATTTTTATGTTCTACTTTTCAATTAAGTGTGATTATATATATATATATATATATATTTTTAATCATACCTTTTAATTAACATGTGATTATATTTATTTTTATATCACTTTTTAATTAAATGTCATTATATATAATATTTATTTTTAATCATACTTTTTAAATAAGTGTGATTATATATATATTTTAATCACACTCCCTAAATAGGTGTGATCGTATCGATTTCATTTTATTTTAATCACACTTTTTAAATAAGTGTGATTATATATATATTTTAATCACACTCCCTAAATAGGTGTGATCGTATCGATTTCATTTTATTTTAATCACACTTCTTAAATAAGTGTGATTATATATGTATTTTAATCATAGGTGTGATTGAATAAAATATTTCTATTTCATTTTTATATAAAATCTGATTCCAAGTTGGCGCCTATTTTGTGCCATCATTGAGCATGACTCTTGACTTTCCCAACATTAAAATCTCTTCTCCTTGCTGAAACGAAACCGTTCATTTTCTTCATCTCAACTTTGAACCACCATTGCCTTTCCCAACAAGATTGAATCTCTTCTCCTTGTTGAAATGAAGCCGTACATTTTCTTCATCATAGCTTCGAACCACCATTGAAGTTACTCACTAAAACCACCGTTGAAGTTTGTCTTTCAAATCAAAAATCTCTTGAAATTCCTGGTGAGTCCTCTGGTTTTTATGCCCCTTTTGTGTGTATTTCTGTTGGTATAGCAGAATCACAAATTTTGCAGAGTTTTCTTCTCTGTCTGTGTATTTATGCTCTTGTAACCATAAGTAAGAAATAACATGCACAATAAGATGTATGATCCTAAAGATCTACCTTGTCCCCAAACACAATACTATATCAGCCATTCGACAATGTTTTTTAGTTGCATTCATCTCTGTCGGGGGCAAAACATCCTACAAGAAAAAGGTTAACCACATTCATCAACATTGAGAACTTCACGAAAAGGTTTTCTATGCTTTTGATTGCATTGGAAGCAATCTATTCTGGAAAATAAATAAATAATAAAAAATAAATCATTTTGTTATTTAAATATGGTAACAATTCTGTAAAGAAGAATCTTACTGCACAGATGTTTCCTGTTCTGTTTCCAAAAATTTAGAAAACAAAAACAAAGTTCAAAGTAACAAGAGACAAATTGACTCCAAACAAGTCCTTAGATATCAGATTCAACAATTTAAGGTTTTAACACCACTAAAATGTACTCCACAGTTTGACATTGCAACAAGAGTTCTATTTTGGCTTTCTAGACTACAAATTGTATAAGTATTTATGTATGCCGCCTTTGTCATCTGCATAGAACTTTGAGTAAGTTGTGAATGGATTCTCTTCAATTACAAATAGCTGAGGAAATAAGAGCATGTACTGCTCTTCCCTTCAATATAATGCAACAAATGAGAATGAGAGTCATAGTTACCTCCCAATAAAGAACAGTATCCTTAAGTTTTGCCCCACACTTCACATCAGAACAGCTCCTTGATGTCTTCTTCAACCCAATAGTCTCCACCTCAAAATCCCGCAAATACCTTCAAACATTAAGTAATTGAATTAAAAACCATGAACTGAAAAAAGTGATAATTCTAACCTTCTATATCAGATGATAAAATTGCTAACTTTGACTTAAAACAGATTATGAGCAACAGAAACCATTCAAAATTTTACACTTACTCCACTCCACATTTGGAGCAAATTTCCTTGAAGGAGTTCCCATGCAATTTTGCTAGTTTCTCTCTTGGTATTCCAGATCGGAGATGTAGGCTATCCACATTCTAGAAGATACAAAGTATTGAGCAATTAATCATAAAAAGTCTAGCAGATAGAGTGATAGACTTAGCAATCCACATATAAAAGCCCATCTGCATGAACATAAGGCTTAATAAGAGATAACAAAGAGGAAATGAAATATAAAATACTCCAAAAAAAAAAGGAGGTAAAAAGAGTTCTCATCAACCATCCTCAAGCTCAGGTAGTCTTAAAGTACAAAACGCATGAGACAACGAAAGAACAGTACAATCTTTTCTTGACAAGGAACAGCATAAAGTCATAAACTAGCCTGGCTAATAACGAACTTCAAAAAGCCAGCCTTTTCAAGTTCAACCAAAGCCATATGTGTCATACTTGGCATTGCCCGATGAAAAGACAAGGATGCTTCATGCACGCCTTTTCCTTCACGCTGCAAGTCAACATAACCAAATCAAACTAACCACTAGAATGAGATGAAGAGAAGACAAGGACAAGGGTTGTAGATTGGCTTCTCCATATCAAAAAATTACAGAACCATAAATGATTTCACCTGAAGTGTCCACACTCCTTTAGGACCTCGGAAATCAGGTATCCCACAAGATGTTGATATTCCTGCACCTGTAAATACTACTAGGTGCTTACTCTACAAGTACAGAAGAAGAAATTCAAAACGGTTAAATAATAATTAATCTAGAAGAGATGTTTTTGAAGATGTAAGAGACAATGTGATTAATTAGTTTTAGATTTTAGAAGTCCTTAACCTTCTGTATCATCAGCGCAAGCTTTTTAATCTGCCATTCAACAGTAAAACAAATGATATTAGAGAGCTGAGACAAGATCACAGAACCTCATTTCAATGAAAATATTAAAGAAAGGTGACTAGTGATAGTTAATAGTTCTTACTGATTTTCAGAATTTCTCAGTATAATATATACAGTGTGTACCCTTCATCCTGCATATGTATGGATATGTATTTGATAAGTTTAACAGAGGGTGGAGGAGTCTACATGATTGGGTTATTCTTACTGATTTTTTCTTTTTCTTTTTGGTAACTGATAAGTTTCTCTTTCTCTTTGCTCTCTTATTTACTCTCCAGATTTGTTTCTCTTTGCTCTTTTATTTACTAATATATATATGCATTTTATTTTGGTTGACATGGATATGGATTTAGATTTATAGATGTGTCTTGAATTTTGGATTTGCTGTCAAGGTGTTGCTTATTTGGTAGGTTATGCCTTATTTTGAAAGTTCTTGGGAATTAGTTGTTTAAAGTCTCCCCCTAGTAACGTGCTATAATTATTCAGTTTTAAAAGCTCTCTCTTATGTCACTTGCACTTAGATGTACACTTCAAACAACAATTTTAACATCTGCACTAAAGATGCTCTTAGTCTAAGGACCTACTAATACAAATAGAATTAATGAAAGTTAGAATTACTCAACGGGCACGAAAATATTGTTACATTATGTAAGCATATTGGCTAAGTTCTAGATGTATTCCAAACTTACACTATCATTAGGAAACAAAATCAAAATGCCACAGGCAAAAAAAATAGGGGTATGAACTATCATACAATAATTTGCTGATGATAACCAGATATAATTTTATGTTCTTATGATAATATATAATACATGAAAGGTAAGCTTTTTTGGCAATTCCTGTCTTTGTTTCAGCTCGTTTCTGCATAATCTACTATAGTTCCTATATAAAACAGTGGACTGGGGAGAGGCAGGCTTTATGGATCTTTTAGCTAATTAAAATCCATCATTTTGTTGAATGCCTAAATTCACTAGTCATATTTTATTTTTTTTTGGTTTTGAATTTATGGAAGTTTGAAGGGGACTTTTGAAGGTTTTGATTCCAATCTTTAAGCAGGGAGCTAGACTAAAATTTGCAATTTTAGTTTTGTAAAATTTCAGTAAAACCTCACCAACTGATGTGGCTATAAATTGTAATTTTCCTAAAAGCTAGTAAGGGAACTATAAGGTACAATGGTAAGTAAACCCCCTTGCTTCTTGTCCTAAAATCAAGCAACACACTTGTACTTCTTTTCTTATGGCAACTGGCTTGACAAAACAGCCTAAGAAGATATTATGTCCTTCTCCTGTAGTTACATTTTCAACTCCTTCATTCCTCTCTATTTTCCATCCTTGTATCAAAAAAAGGATTGATCTTATTAATGCCTTAATGTTCTATTCAAATGGGTCCGTTACTATTAGCTTGTTTTATTAGGATCAAAACATGGTTATAAAAGGATCAAAACATGGTTATAAAAGGAGCATTAGAAGAGCATTATGAAGTTGGTGAAACTTAACGAAACCCAAATAGAGAAAACAAGTTGACCTTGACAAGATTTAGTGGAACAACAATAAAACACTCTAACCAATTTGAATTTTTTATTGAATTGAATCTAGTTCTTAGCACTTTTTATTTTGTTTTATATTATATATATTTATTTTCCCCCTCTTGTTTCTGTTAATCTATGTGAATATTCGATGCCATTTGATTTCAATGGAAAGTACATCCTTCACTCTCTGTATAGCTGTGTTTATTTCATGTATATTCAGTATCATCCTTCTAACTATTCAACACATCTTTATCAAAGATTTGAAAGGGCTTTGAAAGAGAGCATTTCTTCAAATGTAAGAATCCAAAAATTTCAATATTTTGCACTGTAGTTTTGCCTTACTAGCAGATTCAACTTTAAAATAATAATAATAATAATAATAATAATAATAATAATAATAATAATTGGACTGTCAATACGATGTTGGCATTTTTACTTGTAGTTCATAGTTCATGTTGTCCCTATTACTTGATATACTAGTTTGACTTGTTGCTCATGCATATTTTGCCCAATAATGCATATTTTGTCCTATTGCTCATGCATAGTTTGTCTTGTTGATATATTAGTTTCTCTTCTCCAGTTCCCTTGACCTGTTATTAAAGGTCTATAATGTCTCATAGCCTAATACATTGTGCATTATAAAAACTCAACCATAATTCTATCAGAAATGATAACTCCCAAGTAGGGAAAAAAATCCTTTTGCTCTCCACGTTATGAGCATTTTTTTTTAGTGGTTAGAATGAGAATCAGGTAGAGATATTAAGCAAAGTGACTCACTTACAATTGGACTATAACATGGTCCTGACAATGTGGTTCTGTTAGCTCCCTGTGTGCACATATAGTGGATTAGTGAAGTGCTTTTAACAACGAAATCATTCGTTAATAAACTGAACAATAATACCTTGTGGGGTTTGCAGGGAAGATCCCACCATTTCTTTCCCCTCCCATCTATTAGACCGCCTCCGTGCAGTGATATTTCATTGATTCTGTAGAAGATAAGCCATTGGTGCTTACTGTTACTATCTGGCCACAAATCAGGTCCATCTGGTGGCATAAGAGTGCCATCAACCTATAAAAGAATGTAAGTACCAAAAGACATAGGTCTTTTTTACCATTGGAGTCTTGAAGAAAGTTTCAAGAGGAATAGAATGACAACATTAATTACTTGGAACACAAAACCACTTTGACAAGGACCAGTGAAAATTGTGGATTGAATCATGAGGGAATAACTGTAGGGAACAAGGAGGACCATTGACTCAAATAAGCAGGCCATGTCCCACGCTGTTTTGAATGCCTCTGTGTCATCTGTTATTCCATCCCCCACAGCACCAAATTTTCGTACATAAAAAATACCAGTACTTGAATTGTAAGAAGTCCCGCCAGTAGTTGCTGCTGTTGTCCAGAACCAAGCACACTGTTGCTGCTGCTGTCCAGAACCAAGCACACTGCTACTGCTGCTTTCCAGAAAAATGCTGCAGCTGCTAACCCAGACACCTTCTAACCTCAACAATTACACCCAGTAAACAAACCACACCAGTTGCAGCACCCTTTACCTCAGCAGCTGCAGCACCTGATTCAAATTGATCACAAAATCATGAACTGAACAGCATCACTAGTGGCACCATATTCCAAAATTTTCTCTCCTTCATCTTGAGCTTCACCCTATCCCACCATTGTTTAGACTTTATGGAATTATTATTTTTTTCTTTTTTTGACTTTGCAATTATTCATAGATCGGATAAATTATTTGTTATAAGATCTTGTATTTTATTTATTTATTTATTTCTTTGTTGCAAGTTTGCTTGAGGCATTTAATGTTCTATCAAAGAAATTGTGCCTTCTCAATGACATTCCTTTGATGTTATCAGCTGTGTAGCCTCTAGTTTATTATTTTATATTCTAATTTCTTTGTTGGTATAGGTATTCAAAAATACATTTAAAATGGACAAATCTTGGATGTTCAAGGATAGAAGATCAAAAGACTCTGAGAATGGAGTTGAACAATTTCTTAATTTTGCTATGATCTGTGCAAGTGATCTTCAATCCATACGTTGTCCTTGTAGAGTCTGTGGAAACTTGAGAAGCCAACCTATTCGAGAGATTAGAAATCATCTTTTTTTCAATGGTGTTGACCAAAGTTATACCACATAGATATGGCATAGAGAAGCAGTCACTAGTGGGACATCACCATGTTTAAATGAACAAGATTTTTCCCAACAACAATTTGACCCGTCTCCCACAGACAATGTAGCTGAAACAATAGAAATGGTTCAAGATGCATACTATCATTGCACGGCTAATCCTGAAGTGTTTAAGAAATTACTTGAAGATGCCGAAAAACCATTGTATCCGGGTTGAACAAAGTTTACCAAGTTATCTGCATTGGTTAAACTATATAACTTCAAAACTATGAATAGCCTATCTCACACTGGGTTTTCAGACCTACTGACGTTGTTAGGTGATATGCTGCCATTGAACAATGAAATGCCATCATCCATGTATGAGGCTGGGAAGATGTTTGCTGCATTGGGAATGGGATATGAGAAAATACATGTCCATATGATTGCATACTCTATAGAAAGGAGTACAAAGATACAACTTCATGTCCTACATGTGGTACATCCAGATGGAAGTTGAAGAAGAATTCCACTGAAATAAGAAAGGATGTGCCTGCAAAAGTTTTATGGTATTTTCCACGTATCCTAAGGTTTCGAAGGATGTTCCAATCAGCAAAATAGCGAAGAATTTGACATGGCATGCTCACGAAAGAGATTATGATGGCACAATGTGTCACCCAACGGATTCTCCATCATGGAAGTTAGTAGACCACAAGTGGCCAGATTTCGCTGCAGAGCCAAGAAACCTTCGATTAGCTATTTCTGCAGATGGAACAAATCCACACAGTTCCCTTAGCAGTAGGTATAGTTGTTGGCCAGTTATAATGATTACCTACAATCTTCCACCGTGGTTATGTATGAAGAGGCTAGATTTCGTTGCAGAGCCAAGAAACCTTCGATTAGCTATTTTTGCAGATGGAATAAATCCACACAGTTCCCTTAGTAGTAGGTATAGTTATTGGCCAGTTATAATGATTACCTACAATCTTTCACCGTGGTTATGTATGAAGAGGAAATTTATGATGTTATCATTGTTAATATCAGGTCCACAACAACCTGGTAATGACATTGATGTTTACTTGGCACCACTAATTGATGATTTGAAAATGTTGTGGGAGGTAGGTGTTGAAGCTTATGACGCTTATAAATAAGAACACTTCAGGCTGAAGGCTATATTGTTGTGGACAATTAACGACTTTCCAGCATTAGGTAATTTAAGCGGTTGTACTGTAAAGGGATATTATGCATGTCCAATTTGCAGTGAAGGAACATGTTCTCACAGATTAAAATATGGTAAGAAGAACACATATGTTGGCCACATAAAATTTCTTCCACGCTATCATCCATATCGGAGGCAAAAAAAGGCTTTTAATGGTGAGCAAGGGTTTGAATTAGCCCCAATACCATTAACTGGGGAGGAGATATTAAATAAGGTTGAAGGGCTTGTAACCATATGGGGAAAGAAAAATAAAAAAGCATTACATGTTGGTGGTACAAAATGTTGGAAGAAGAAATCATTATTCTTTGATCTTGAATATTGGAAGTACTTACATGTTTGACATAATTTGGATGTTATGCATATTGAGAAGAATGTTACTTAATATTCCAGGAAAAACAAAGGATGGAATTAATTCCCGCATTGATCTTGTAGAAATGGGTTTGCGTGAAAAATTGGCACCACAAATTGGGGAGAAGCGAACATACTTGTCTCCAGCATGTTACACATTGTCTAAGGAGGAGAAAAGAAGAGTATGTACAACATTATTGGAATTGAAGGTTCCAGAAGGATACTCTTCAAATTTGGGAAGTCGTGTATCAATGCAAGATTTGAAACTTTATGGTCTAAAGTCACATGATTATCATGTATTGATGCAACAGTTACTACCTGTGGCAATACGATCTGTGTTACCTAAGCATGTGAGACATTCCATTATCAGGCTATGTTTCTTTTTTAATGCTACTTGTAGCAAAGCGGTGGATGTGGTAAAATTAGATGAGATTCAAAAAGAGCTTGTGGTCACATTGTGTTTACTTGAAAAGTACTTGCCACCTTCGTTCTTTGATATCATGGTGCATTTGACAGCGCATCTTGTTAGAGAAGTTCGACTTTGTGGACCAGTTCACTTTAGATGGATGTACCAATTTGAGAGGTTCATGAAGATCTTAAAGGGTTATGTTCGTAATCGTAATTGTCCTGAAGGTTGCATTGCTGAAAGTTACATTGTAGAAGAAGCTGTTGAGTTTTGTGCAGAGTACTTATCTGGAGTGGATGCAATCGGGATTCTTTCTAATAGGAACATGACAGTTGATGATGATATAGAAATTGGAAGGCCTTTATCAAGTGGTTGTGTTGTTACTGTTGATCGTAATGAATGGGAGCAAACACATCGCTATGTGTTAGAAAATACAAGTGACATTCAACCATACATTGAGTAAGAATATTTCATGTACATTTTTGTATAATTGCATTCTCACAAGTTAGAGATTTATCTCATAATATATTGCTTTATTGATGATTTGATAGGGAGCATATGGCTTGGTTGAAGCTAAAATATCATCGTCAATCACAAAGTCAAAAATGGCTACAAATTGAGCATAATAAAACATTTATGTATTGGCTTCGTGAAAAGGTATTGGGGTAATTCAACATATATCCTTTTCTAATAGCAAATATTATTAAGAAAAAGTTACCTAACTATTCAACCATATACAGGTCTCAAAGGAATTAAGTAGCCAAAATAATATCTCAAATAACCTGAAGTGGATAGCACAAGGACCTCGATTGGATGTTATAAAATTCCCTGGCTATATCATCAATGGTTGTCGTTATCACACAAAAGATCAGGATAACTCACGAGTTAGCCAAAACAGTGGAGTTAGTCTAGTGGCAACAACAATGCATGTGACAGGTTACAAGGATAAGAACCCAGTGTTTACTGATATGAGTTATTATGGAGTTATTATTGAGATATGGCAACTTGACTACAATATGTTCAAGATTTCGGTATTTAAGTATGATTGGGTTGACAACACAAAGGGAATTAGAGTGGATGAGTTGGGTTTCACATTAGTTGAGTTAGGGAGGATAGGCCATAAAGACGATCCCTTCATTTTGGCTTCCCAAGCTAAGCAAGTTTTTTATATACAAGATCAACTTGATCCGAGATGGTCAGTTGTGCTAGAACCTCCTCAAAAACAACATTCTTGTGAAAAGGATGATGAGTTCAATGATTTTTGTATAGAGCATCATGGCTTTACAAAAGTTTTGCCAGAAGTTGAATCATTAGATGTGGTTGATGATTCTATGTCATCTTACATGCGAGGAGATTGTGAGGGAACTTGGCTCGATAATCCATGATGAAAAAAAAAATGTCTTTGCAAGAATGTATGTCTAAGTATTGTATTTTCATGTTAAAATGTTTGACTTATATTCATTTTCTTCATGTCTTTATATTTAATTGTCTAACTATTTGACATTTTTTTCTTAAATTTTTATTTTATTTTATTCACATGATGGATACTTCTTATGTCCTGCCTACTGATGGAGAGGATGCATGGTTACCAGCAACAGAACCAACATTTAATAAAAGAAAAGGCAGAGGTTCGACAACATTACCGAATGTCATAAAGGATAGGAGTTCTAGTGTACGAAAAGCCATTGACTATAACGAGAATAGTCAATTGATTGGATATAATTCAATCAAATGTTCAAGCTATCTTGGGGTGTTGGCTCACACAATGATTCTGATATGCTATAAAGACTGGTTTGAGGTGCCAGCTGAACTGAAAGAAAAATTATGGAGTTGTGTGGAGGTAAGTAAGACACTTAAACATGTATTTAAGTGCAATCAAAATTTCCTTTTCTTTATTTCTTTAAATTCTATTTGTTGTTATGTACACAATAGAATTAAATCTTTTAAATACAGTGAAGATTGCCTAACAGCATCAACATTGCAGTCACAGTGGCAATTGATGATGGTTGAGTACGCCTGTGCTTCAAGATGCCGATAAGGTGAATTTTAAATCTGATATTGCTTATCTAGTCTCTTAGTTGCCCCTTTGGGTTTCTAGATTTGAGTTGTTATAGTGAAAAAGGGCTTGTTGCAATTCTTATTCTAGGTTGACATGTATTCCTTGTCAAGAAAATGGAAGGAGTTAGTTGATAAGGCCCGAGCCAAGCAGCTGCAACCCCATGAATACAGAACAGGTATGTAGTGATATCTTTATATGCTCTGTTATTTATTTATTTATTTATTTATTGATAAATATTCTGTTTTTTATTTATATTTTCCACAGTAGTTGATTCTTAATTGTTTCATGGATTTTCCCCACAAACCGATTAATCTCTATTTATATCATAAGTCCTTTTGGTGCTGATATATTTCCTTGTCTCATTTTGTCTACTATTCAGTTTCTGCAAGGGCCACAATTCCCTAAATTGTGTTTTCAGGATTTTTGTATTTCTTGAACTTTTATAATTTGAAATAATAATGATATAAAAGAATATTTCATAGTCACATCCATTAAGAGCTAATGCTTGAAATTGAGTAATGCTGTACAAATAAAAAATTCATACATAATAATGTGGCTCATTATGAACCATTCACTTCAAAACAAAACACCGTTGAAGATGCATTTATTTACAATAATGGTATTGTGACATCATTCTTGTGAATTTTTTGTATGATTTTTATGTATGTATAGAGCAATGTTGTCAGTATCTTACGATTCACAATTTGTATCTTATGATTCGACACCTTTCACAAGGAAATCGATACGATACGCAATACATAATACGATTCATATGTTACATAAATAGTTAAATTTCTTTAGCAAATTTGAAAGAAAAAAATTCAAATTATTTTATGTAAATTAATATTGTAAAAAAATTTCATTAACTTATTAAAAAAAAAAGTTATTTTTGAGATAAGAATGGTACTTTTTAATTTATTTCTCAACCTTTTTGACATATCTATTGTATGGTATTAAGAATCTTGCGTTATTAATTTATGCCTCGTGAAGATAATATGATTGCTACATGTATATAATTTAAGGAACTTTGCTTTTGCAATTGACAGAATTATACATTATTTGGTGTTTTGTTCTCATAAGATATTTGTTTTTTATAACTATATTTATTTTTTTACCTATTTCTAAAGGTATTAAAGTATCTTACGATACACGATATGATATGATATGCGATTCAAAAAAATTATATAACGATACACGATTCGTATCCCGATTTAACAACAGGTGTATAGAGTTTTCCCTTGAAATTATGGAGGAAATGATATTAGACTAGAAACTGATTGGCTAGAAGCTGAACTTGTGACATAAATAAACCAGCCCAAGTAACATCGATCCCAAGACAGACAATGAATATAATTTTTTCGCTGATTCATTGTGGCATCGAGGGCATTATGGGTCTAAGAAGCATTACTCTTCTTTTCACTCAACTTTCTTACGAAATAACTGTGTTGTGTGTTTTCTTATTATGATTTCTTGGTGGTGTTGCAGGCACTTTTACTCTCTCTAATCTTGGAATGTTTGGTGTGGATCGCTTTGATGCCATTTGCCACCAGGAACTGTTGAGTGCCCAAATTTAAATTAAAATGGCATTGCTTCTGCTAGATTATGTTGTTTTGAGGCTAGTATAGTTTTTACAGAGTTGTGTATGACCTGCAATTTTAACCACTATGTTGCTTGATCATACCTATCCAGGGTGCAATCATGGCTGTTGGAGCATCTCAGCCCACTGTTGTACTGTAGGTGCCAAGGATGGTCGGATTGGCATGAAAAACCAGATGAAGGTATAGTATATATTTTATTTTTCTCCTATGCTCTGTTTTGCACTTTCAGGCATTTGGGACATTCGAAAAATAATGTTAACAGAAAATATTTTCTATGATCAATAGTAAATAAGCTTATTTGGGCGAAAAATGAAATTAGAAAACGTTTTCCAAACTAAAATCTTATCAATATCACCACACTATCACTATCATTAGCCCACCACCACCATCACCACCACCACCTCCACCTCCACCACGCCAACACCACTACCACCACCACTACTAGGAACACCACCACCCCGCCAAATCACTAGTACATTAGTTTCAATGAAATCAAATATAGGAAAACGTTTTCTACAGATCTGTCAAAAAACAAAAAACAAAAAAAATCCTAGAAAATGTTATAGAGTCTCACGGACATTATTTTATTTGGAAAAACTTTAGGAGGAATGTATTGAATTCTTATACTATAAAATGCAATTTCTACAGGTAAATGTTACAGCTGACCATCGTGTCATACATGGTGCGGATCTGGCTTCATTCTTGCAAACTCTAGCCAAGATAATTGAGGATCCTAAAGACCTTACACTATAATTCTTCATACAGTCTCAGATTACTTCCGTCTTGTCTGTGCCTCTGGCTCTGATCATTTTTTATTATCATCCTCGATTTTGGCGGAGTAAGTTTGTGGTGAAGAGAAATTTAGGAGCTACTAACTCACTTTCTGCTCAATCAAGGTTCTGAGGGACAACAGGAGCAGAATTTTGAAGAGTAAATGTTTCACATTTCATTAGCTTTTGTGTAAGTTTCAATTCAGAATTGTACTTAATGAGTATCATAAACTCGAAGTAGTCATTGTCATCTTATCCTTCAAATTCTCATTGTCATTAGCTTGTTGAGGATTTTTCTGTTGGTGGTGTTACATGCACCAATTAATTTACACATTAATGTACCAACTAGTTTTATGCCATTATTACTGACTCCACCTATTATACAAATTACAAATACTCAAAACCTCTAAAATTATGTCACATCATGTATTAATATACTAGTTAGTACATTAATTAGTACATATAGCATTATTCTTTGTCGTTAATGGAGATTTTTATTGACCAAAAATTCATTTTATTGGAACGCACAGAAAGAATTGCTTGACATGGATTGTTGTTTGTATCATTACCAACATCAAATTGTGTTTGCTTAATGAAGATTGTGCAAATTATCCCACCAAGCATCAACAAAATCCCCTGGTTAGGATTTCTGCGACGCACTTCTGTTATTGATACCAGTTCTTGTCGGATTACTGTCAGATCTCAGTATTTTATGATTGAACACAGGAATTCTTTCTTAAAATGGTACCTAAGGAATCATATCATCAAACTGTTGCTGACCGGAGTAATAAAAATTTTGCCACTTTATTTGATTTCTTTAGTCAGTCACACTAGTGAGGGGTAGTAAGGTTCTTCCATTGCAAGTTAAGTTAGTTTAAATTACACAAACAGTATACATCCAACACTTTCTAGACCCTGCAGTGACGAACAGTATGTTTGCACTCAAGTCGAGAGTAAGACTACATACATCCAACTCTTCTTAGACCCCACAGTGAATGGCTGTTTTGTACACCGGTACTACTCCTTAATCACATAAGTAACCTATTATGTGTTCTCATCGTGTTCCATGGCACAAGTTTTAGCAATGAAGGCTTAGAACTACCCTTCAGATTAGGGTGAAGTTCTATGGAACCTCCAGCCTAAAATCAGCAGTATCCACTGGTTTTGAAACCCCATGTCATTAGGCACCTTTTGCTTGAGCTTGTGCCATTATCAGAGTTAATCTGGTCAAGAATTTTTCACTAAACGAAGTTCCAAAAATGCAAAGCAGGAGCTAGTTTATATTTCTATAATGCAATGAAAGATCAACCAGAACAACACCCCAGAAGCAAATCCAAACAACTTTTGATCTGCTTGATGCAAAGAGAGGTTAAAAGGATAAAACTTGGGAGTTATAGATCAATTCTAGCACCATCTTTATACATTGATTCAAAATCTGGTATACATGTATTACATATAAATTGGTATGGAAAATAACTTTAATATATTACATGCAGGTTGAATTCTAAAAAAGAGCTTTTCCTTCGTATTTCAAATGGCAGAGATGCTTTGACTCTTATCTCTAACACAATTGTATGGAGTGACCAAAACTGGGATTCCCATTCATCGTGCATTCAGGAGCATTCTCAGTATGCTTTTTGATTTGGGCCGTGCTTGTGGTGAAATGCTAACGCAAGCTATCGCCACCTTCAGAACTGCAAGCATCTGGTTCCTAACTGCAAGTGATGTTCTGCTTACACTGAAATCAAGAATGCTATCCAATTTATCTTGCTTCACCGAGTTACTCAATACCCACTTGGCCAACTCAGTTCCCTGGCTCACTGCAGGTTTCCCAGTAACCAATTCCAGCAGAATAACCCCAAAGCTATATACATTCCCAGCCATTGTCACCCTCATTGTGTAAGCATATTCTGAAACCCAAAGAATCAACAACATTAGCAGCTTTACAGGTTAGGAACAAAATTTCGATGCCATGTCAAATCTGGTTTCGAAAAATATTTGATAAGCAACAATGCTCGGTATCCAGAAAATATATTGTTTGGACCACATTCATTCTAGGTAGCCTACACAACAAGAAATTTGAATCTACATCACATATTTCATTTTTGGGGTAAATTTCTTGGCATTTTTTCATGGTCCTTATCTTTTTCCTTTACATTTGTTGGGTTCAAACTCAAGAATGAATACACAATCAAAAAATTAAAAATAAAGAATGAATATGAAACTAACATTCTAGGAAATAGTATATGCTGTTATTGCTGATCTGAAACAAATTAGTATTTATGATTAAAGGCGCGATAGTATCATATGCAACAATATCAGTACATGTAAACATGGAAAAAAAATTAAGATACTGATTATCATCATCAGAGGTCATGTAATTAATACAGGGTTATCGAGTGCATCACCTGGAGGTATATAGCCAACAGAACCAGCAACTGCAGAGAGGCTGCCCGTGCTTTTTGTTGGATCAATCACCTTACAAAGCTCAATATCTCCAACCTGAGGCTCCTTTAGAGACTTCAATAGTATGCTTTTGGTTGATAGGTCAAGGAGGAGGACTGGACCAGAAGTGTAACCATGTAGAAATGCCAAGCCCTGAGCTACTCCAATCGCTATACTGTAACGACTTGACCAGTCCAAAGCTTCTCCCAAGCTACCGTGCAGGACATCGAAAAGGGTACCCTTTTGGGCAAATTCATAGAAGAGGTAAGCGCTATCGACTGTCAAGACATAGGCAAGAGGAGTCATGACATTTGAATTGTTCAACTTCCCTAGAACGTCTAATTCTTCCCCGAATTTCTCATGGCTACCCAATTGGAATATTTTGTCGCTCCAATTAAGTTTCTTGACAAAATAGCTTATACCAGAAGGCATGATGGCTTTGTAGTAGGTCGAGAACCTAGTCTTCAAAAAGATGTTTGATGGGTCAGTCACTGCTTCCATGGCTTTGTTGAAGTCGATATTAGATCTGTGAATGCCATTTGCTGTTAAAAGATTGCCTTTGATGATTTGGGGTTGAGGAAAGTCTTCCTGAGATCGTATCTGCTCATCATTAATCCTGTAAAATCGTCTGGAAATCGACATGGCGATGATTGTTACTATCCCAACAGCAAAGACACTAGCAACCGCAACCGCAACAACAATTCCCACGGCAACTGTCCTTTTTTTCGGAGATAATGAGGGAGAGTTTGAATTGGTAGCGTTAATGAGACCCTTGTTTCCACTTACATCAAGTGTAACGAATGAAGGGAACTTGGGAATCACACCAGAGAGCAGATTGTTGGAAAGCACCAATTGTGTCAAGCTTGCCATTTTAACCAGAAAATCTGGAATCTGACCAGAAAATTTGTTGTTGGAAAGATCCAACACTTCCAATCCAATCAATTTTGATATTGTTCCAGGTATAGGCCCTTCAAAGAGATTGCTGCTTAAATTTAGGGCAATCTGCAAATTCTGTGGCATCAACAGAATTGCCCCATTGAGTTGGTTGTTCCCTAGTTGGAGTTCTATAAGGGAATTCAAGTTTCCAATCGAAACAGGTATTGAACCGCTGAGATTGTTGCCTCGTAAATCCAAGTTGGTAAGAGCTTGCAAGCTTGAAATTGATGATGGTATTGAACCGTTCAGCGAATTCCAGCTGATATTCAGTTTCTGCAATGTTTGTAATTGGGTAATTTGAATTGGGATTTCTCCAAACAAATTGTTGAATTGAAGCTTCAATTCCTGAAGTTTGCTCAGAACACCCAACTGTACCGGCAAACCACCAGTGAGGTTGTTGTTAGCAAGATTCAGCAGTGCTAAATTCTTGCACAAACTCAATTCTGGAGGTATTGGTCCACTCAAATAATTGTTATCCAACTCCAAATAGGTCAGTGTTGTTTGAAGGCTTCCAAAAGATGAAGATGGGATTGCCCCATTCAATTGATTGTTTCCTAATCTCAGCCTCACCAAGGTTGGAGACATATTTGCAGGTATTGACCCACTTAATGAATTATAAGATAAATCCACACTCTGCAAATTTGATTGGGATAAAAGGTCTCCAGGAATTGGCCCATTTAAGTTATTATAACTAAGGTCTAAATTCTTGAGATATTTTGTAATCCCAACTGGAATAACACCAGAAAAAGAATTCTGGTTGGCCGCGAATCGCGATAGGTTTTGGATAGTTGAAAGGAATTTTGGGATTCCACCACTCAAATTATTAGAAGATAGAATCAAAAGTTGCAGATTGAGAAGCTCTCCAAATCTATCAGGGATCGACCCATAAATGTTATTTACACTAAGATCAATTGAAGTCAATTTCGAATAATTCGCAATTGATTCAGGCAATTTACCTTTAAAGTGATTGGCAGAAAGCCCAAGCTCCTCCAAAACCATGGATTTTCCAAAGTTGATAGGAACAGAGCCATCGAACTGGTTGAAGCCAAGGTTCAGACTTTTGAGAGCAACCAACCCATCAAGCTGTAAATTAATGCTTCCAACCAATGAATTGTGAGACAAGTCCAAGGACTCCAACTTAGCAAAACCATTAAAAGTGGGTAAAGGGCCAGACAATTTGTTCCTACTGATGTTCAACAGTTTCAACCCAGTAATCTTTCCGCAACCAGTCATGAACCCATCTGGGATTGAGCTCAAGTGATTGTTGGAGAGATCAACAGCCTCCAAGGTATCAATCTGGCAAAGAGAAACAAGAAAATCGGGGGAAGAGATAGAGAAAAAAGGGAGAGAGAGATTGGTGATGGAAGAATTGTCGGAAGTGCATTTAACACCCTTCCATGAACATGGATTTGGGTCTTTGGTGACATTCCATGGGGAAGGAGGAGCAAACTGGGCTGTGCTGTTGGAGAGATGACCATAGAGCTGGTTCATGGTGGTTGTCTGGTTTAGAGACAATTGAGAGAACACCAACTGGAGGAAAAAGAAGAAGAAGAAGAAGAAGAGGAGGAGAGAAGTGGTGTGTCCAAACCTTGTCATTTTGGGCTTTGGGTTGTAGAGAGAGAGAATCCAAACAAAGTGATTTTTTATTTTGTATGATAGTTATACAGATATATGTGTAGGAGAGGTATATGTATATTCCATTTGTTTCATGTAGGTGGGTAAAAGAACAGAGAGGAACTCCCAACTGAGAAAGAGAGGAGAGAGAAAGTGTGAAAATGGTTTTAGAGAGAGAGAGCAGAGGGTCGCCGGCGTGTTGGAGGGGGTGAGTTGAATGAGACTCCATTTACTTCCAAAGACCAGACTTTTGCGACAGTTTTGTTTTATTTGCGGAAACATTGGGCTTGACTTTGACTCTCACATCCCTAGTCTTTCAAGCAATGTTTCACATTTGCTTAACTTGTGACATTTGTTCTTTTCTCTCTTAAAAAATAGGATAAATTATACTGTTTTTTTTTTTTAAATTAAAAAATAATAATTTTATATTTTTTATATAATTACACTAATTTCTCTTTAACTTTGGTTAAAATAATCAAAACTATTACTAATAACAGATAGATATTGAAAAAAATAAAAATAAATATATATTTTTAAATAAAAAAATGATAATATATATTTTTTTATTGATACGACTAGCAAATTATAAATAAAAAAAAACTTAAGTGATAAATGAATTAAAATTTTAAGAAAAATAAATGTAATTATATTAAAAGTGTGAGATTAATTATATGTTCTTTAGAACTCAATGGAGACAAGTGTAATTTACTCTAAAAAATAATATAAAAATGATAAATTCTACCATTTAACTAATAAAATTAAATTGAGATACATAGGTTTGTTTGGTTCAGTTTATGGAATTATTTATAATTTTTTATTTTATTTTAGAAATTTGTATTAGAATATTTGTTTTAACTTCTGTTTAGAGACATAAATAACTTAAATAAATTGAGAAAAAAAATTACTTTCTTCGTCTCAAATTATTTGTCTAGCACGAAATATAAACTTTAAAATTATGTATTTTCATATTGAAATTTTTAATTTTTTTAATTTGTGAAAAAAATTAAAAATTTTGGTAGAAGAATAAATTATTTTTAAATTCTCATTTTCTGTTTCGGCTGAACAATTTGGACGGAGATTGTAATTATTAAAAACAAGACTTCTAATTTAAATTATCAAATTTTAATTTATAATTCAAGGTCTTAAATTCGAGTCATCTCAAAGAATTATTGAAAATTTAACTTTAAAATCTCAAAGCTAATCAAGATATGTATAAACTAATTTAGACACCCAATAATCTAGAAACAATAAAACCAAACGAGCCCAATGTTGCCCCGAGCAACACTATAATTTTTCATGGTATATATAATATAATAAACAACTCTATTTTTCTGGTGGAAATCACACGCTAAAAACACTTGACCATAGGCTCCAATCCACAATACCTGACTTTCCAATTTCAAAAGTCTTTTGGTGGGTCCACAATTGTGTGGATCCCACACGTGACTGAAGGAAGCAGCTGATCAAACACGCGTTGATTAATAGTACGCCCAAGACTTTAGACCGTGTCAATATAGAATGGGAAAGATATGTGTGTATATATGTATATTATAATTATAAAAAAATGATATAATTTTATATTTTTTTATTCATAATTAAAAAAATAAAAAAATTTATAATTAAATAAAAAAAATCATAATTAAAATTTTCTCTCTAAAAAAATAGTGCTCCCAAATGATTTAGTTCTTATGTTAGGTATAATTAATTGAAATGAACTGGAATGAAATAATCATTCCATTATAATGTTCTTCACGTTCAGTTCACTAAAAAATGATCAAAAAATATATTATAAACAAAATTATTGTTTACCATTGTGACAGGCTAAGGAACAACAATTTTATTTTGTTCAATTTCATTTCAGTGAACCAAATATTGCTTTATTGTATTAGTAATTTAAAATGCAATTTTTTTTTTTTTTTTTAATAATTGAAGTGGTTAAGATATATGAGTTCATAATTTAAAGAAGTAAACTAATATTCTCTAATAGTTGATGATGTCGTGACATAAATAACTCATATAAAAGAAACTAGGGGGAGAGTTTTTTCTTTTTTTATTTCATAAATTAATATTTTTAATTCAAATTATCAAATTAGAGATAGATAGTTTATCCAAATTAGGAATGGTAAAAACCGAATCTAAAAAACAAAAATGTAAGTATACAATTTTAAAATTTTAAATTATACAATGAAGCACTTATATTTTTACTCACATTGTATTAAATAATTTATTTCATACAAATAAAATAAAATAAAAAAAGTAAGTATTTTTTTTTTCCTATCATTTAAGTTACTTAAATTTTAAAATAACCTTTCATGAATCAAATTAGATTTGACTTTAGACCGTGAGATTATAAAATAGTTAGTGAAGAAGAGAACATTTTCTTTTGAAAGAAAAAGTAATTTATAACGATTTTGATTTAGACTCAATCCATTTATTGCTTTCGGATCTGAGAATCCATGTACTTAGCTATTGTTCATCTCCTTTCCACCATAATACTTGTTGAGTTTGACTATTGAGAGTTTTTATTATGTTTAAAACGGGTTTGGAAGTTAGTTTTTCAAAGAGTTGTTACCTAGAATTCTGCTTGTTTGCTCGAGCGACCATTCCTTCGCTCAAGTAGTCTTTTTATAGTCTGCAAAACTACTGAGAGTTTGATATCTTCGCTCGAGCAGTCTTTCTTGCGCTCGAGTGATCTTTTGTAGGCCTGAACTATTGGAAGGGGGTCATTGTGCACTCGAACGGTGGTTTTGGTCGCTCGAGTGGTGTCACTTATTGTGTCTGTCGCTCAAGTGACCATTCTTGGCTCGAGCGATCTGTGCGTATATCAATCTGAGTGGAAGCTATTCTCAGTCACTTATACTTTTCTTTCTCTCTCTAAACATTCCAAAACCCTAGATCCATACACACACTCTCTTTAGTTCTTATTTCTAGCACCAAATACTCTCAATCCGTGGGTTTCCTTACCCTAGTCCTTTGGAGAAAAACATTGAGCGCGTCAAGGGCTTCATTTTAATCTGAGCATTTTTGTGTTTTTGACTCCGTCAAGTTCTACCCATCGTTTCTTTGTGTCTTCTACTTTGAGGTAAGAATTTCTTTGACTCTTTTATATGATTTTTAGCTTAGTTATTTGTTCTTTGAAAGGGGTATTGATTTGGAAAATTTTGGAAAAAAAACCTAGGATTTGGATTTGAAATCAAAAGAGGGGTTTTCCAAATGGATTCTTGAAAATGGGTGTGGGAAGGTATTTATGGGTGAGATATGTTAAAATGGTAAATGTTTCTTCTTGAAATTGATTTTGTAAAACAAAAGGGGTTTTGTCCTAGATTTTTGGATATTTGGAATTGTGAAAGGAAATGGAAAAATGATGTTGGGTATTATGAAATTGGAACAATGTTTATGTTGATGATGATGGTGGAGTTGGATATATAGCATTACTTCCATTGTAATTGATGAAATTGTATCTTTTGATTGGAATTATCTATTGAATAGAAATATCTGTTTTGGGCTATCGGTGGAGGATAGTCTTGATTGTTATAAACATTGTATGAGAATTAGGTTGAATTAAAACTAATTTCTCATACATTGTGCATCGAGCATCATTTCATATCGAACATTGTAAATGTTTTGGTTTTAAGAAAAATGGGTGAATACCATGGTGAATTTGGTTAGGGGGTGTGGTTGTGGTTTTATTATGTTGGCCTGTGTGTCCTTGGTGAAAGTCCACAAACCCGAGCAATTAGGTGCTGACCCTTTCTGTTAGTACCGATAAAATGGCTTTGGTAGTGTTTGTATAGCTTAGTGGCAAAACGTACCTAGAGATTCTTAGTACGCTGTATCCACTACCCTGTTTTCTGTACAAAAGGATTGTTTTCATGAATTGATATGTAATTTGACATTACATTGTTTTGAGATGGAAAACGAGGAATGTTTGACAAATGGCATGCATGTGCATTCACTTTATAACTTTGCTAAGATTCATATATTATGTTAAAGTATCTCTACTAGACTGTGGCTCACCCTATGTGGAAAACAACTCTCAGGTGCTGATGATATGCCTTCACCAAGGACGTAACTTGGGAGGACTTGAAGCTTAAGGCTCCATTGTGGTTTCATGTTTCATGATGTAATTATTTTTTTGTTTAAGCTCGAGGCTTTACTTATATTAAATATAAACTCATTTTGTCGTAACCAAGTATCATCTTGAAAAGTTGTAGCCATTAAGGCATTTAATTACTTGATTTTATGTACCTTTTTACACTTGTATCCATGCCATATGTTATAGATTCTGAATCTAGGATTTGTGAATATATATTGCATATGTCATCTTTTGTAATGATCAAAGGTATAATGAATATATAATGATTCCGGTTTAGGTTGAGAGGACTCTCTGACGATTAAATATATAACGATTTCGATTTAAGCTAAACCCATTTCTTGATTTTAAATCCAAGAATCCATGTACTTAACTGTTGTTCATCTCATTTCCATCTTGTTGCTTGTTGAGTTTGGTTATTGGGAGTTTTGGTTGTGTTTGAAACAGGTTGAGAAGTTAGTTTTTTCAATGAGTCATTGCCCAGATTTTTATTTATTCGCTTGAGCAGTCTTTCTTGCTCTTGAGTGGTCTTTTACAGTCAGCAAAACTACTAGAAGTGTGATATCTTTGCTCGAGCGGTCCTTCTTGTGCTCGAGCAATCTTCTATAGGTATGAACTTCTAGGAGGGAGTCATTATGAGCTCAAGCGGTGGTTTTGGTCGCTCAAGCGGTGTCATTTATTGTGTCTTATGCTTGAGCAGTGTTTTGGTCACTCGAGCGGTCTGTGCGTATATTAGTCCGAGTAAAGACCATTTTGAGTCACTTTTCATCTCATTCTCTCTCTAAACATTTCAAAATCCTAAATCCACTCTCTCTCTCTAAGTTCTTATTGTCTAGCTCTAATTACTCTTAATCCTTTGATTTCTTCACCCTAGTCTTTTGGAGAAAAAGATAGAGCACGTCGAGGGCTTCGTTTCAATCGGAGGAGTTGTTGTTTTCGGTCTTCTAGTTTAAGGTAGAGATTTCTTTGACATTTAATATGATTTTGAGTTTATTTATTTGCTCTTTGAAATTGGCTAGTGATTTGGGGATTTTTGAGAAAACCTAGGGATTTATTTTGAAATCAAAAGAGCGGTTTTTCAAACTGAGGTTCTGGAGAATGTTATGGGATGTCAGTTTAGTTTATATGTTGACGATGATATTAAGACGGTCGGG